AAGCAAGATAAACTCATTTAAAATGTCACAGGAGAAATCTTTATAAATCATTAATAGGAATAGTAATATTATAAAATTATATATGGATTAAAATAAAAAGATATTATTAGGAGTTAAGCAATGAAGATATGAATATTTCAATTGAAATGCATGAAAAGATGAATACCCTCTCCAATGAAATTAAAGATTTTGTAAAAAATTCTTTAATAACAATAGATGAAAAAATGGCAAATCTTACAAAATTACAGCAAAATTATTTTAAGGTAGATATATTTCTATAAACATAGAATTTTAGATATCATAGTACATTGTTATGTCATAAGTAATAAAAAAACGAATATATATATATATATATTTAGTAGTTAAGCAATGAAGATATGAATATTTCAATTGAAATATATATATTATCTCTTATTGATATTCTTATCTATATTCAAACAAATAATATATCTCTAATACATATACATAATACTACGTAATACTATCACTTTAGAGAAGTGGCGTAAAATGATCTTAACTCTTAAATATATAGAAGGTATAATTGAAATGCAAATAAAAACTTACTATGTTATGATAATAGTATTAAGTGACTGGGGTGACATAACAATTAATTTATATAGACTCAAAATATTTTAATTTATCTCTTTTAATCAAAAATTATTTAGCGCCAACGTTCCAAAAAAAATAATAAAATTGTTGACAAGCCAAAATATAAAAATAACTCAACTGATTGTCATCTTAAGGAATATGATATAAATGATCTTTATTTCTGGAAAGAGGTCAAGAATGGCATTTCTACAAATGTTAAGGTAATTAAATATAATCACTTAGATCCAATATCTATACCGTCAAAACAGTTACCCGAAGTAAGAAATACAAATTAAGATACAAGTAAGGAATACAAGTAAGATACAAGTAATCAGTCCCTCCTATTTGACTGATAGTTTATGATGATTGATCATCATATCCGATTGTTCGCAGGTCAAAGTGAATATGTACCATATTTAGTTAGATAAACGAAAATTTTAAGTGAAAATATTATTGAATTTAAGGCGTAGTGACAGAAGACCCACAGACAGAAGACCCACAAGGACATAAGACCCACAGACAAAAGACCCACAAACAGAAGACTCACAAGGACTGAAGACCCACAGACAAATGACCCACTAGAAAATTTTTTAACCAAAACTTAGGAAAAAATTTTCTGAAATTTTTAAAAAAGATTTGTCTATTTTTCTAGGCAAAAGATTAAAAAATTTTTTATTATGTATTAAAAAATTTTTATTCCAAAGTTAATCAATAAAAAGTTGATTGATGAAAAAGAATTTAGGAGTCGTGTGTTTTTTTGGATATTTATGAATAGCGTGGGACTTAGAGGATATAGGGCTAAAACCTGAAATCCACCAATGTCTATTCTTATCCATAAATTGTTTATAACAGGAACAAGGAGAAGGAATACTCTGATATCTCTCTTAACCAGAAAATCAGATATGTCAGGGGATTTAAAGGAATGTAAACGGATTTAAACCTTTTAAGATTTTATAATTCTCTAATCAGCTTTTTTCCACCGATATCCCTCCATCTTACTCAGAAATAATTACCTAATCTCTGCTAATACCAATGATCATATCTCCAATACAATTGACCACTTCTAATCCTTCTATATCACCCCATATGGACTTAACTAACTTTTGCTATAATCCAGTTAATCCTAAATACACCTTAATACTAAATGTCCCTTTGATCTACTTTTCCCTCTCATTATGGCAGACAAAAATTCTGGGAGTGAGAATTTTGGAAAGCTGATTAGCTATTTTTATACTATTTTTATTTCTGAACATGATCGGATTATGTTTTTGGGACAATCTGGTCCGGATTTTCCGTATCAAAATCCCGAAAATCCGGGAAATCAAGATCCCCCTTCGTTAAACAAGCTCCTTGTCATTGGGACAAGGGGAGCTTGTTTAATCCCAACGCTTTCATTTTAAGATAAGCTTAAAATCTATAAATTTTAGGGCTTAGATGATACTGCAAGTGCTGATTGGTTAATCAGTCTCAGCCCCGGCAGATGGCTATATGCTGATATCGTCGATGTCGCAATAAATAAATTATGTGTTGGCCATCCAATCATCTACATCAATCACTTAGAAATGCTGAGCTTCAGGAGAAATGAAAAAATTTCTGAATCATTAAAAATTAACGTTAATGGTGTCGACACGATGATGACTGTAATGCTATTAAATGGCAACCATTTTATTTTGTTGAAGGCAGATATAAAAAACCGCCAAATATTCTCATACGACTCAAGTAACAACCGTTTTCATAGTGAAAGGCATGAATACATGGAAATTTTCTTGTAAGATTTTTAACTTAAACTGTAATTAGAAAATAGTTAAGACAGAATTAGTAGATAAATAATAGAGGATGTTAGTAGACACACACCTCCCGCTTTGAAAAAAATCTTAGGCTTATCACTCAAAGCCGATCTAATTAATTAAAAAGCTTTCTAAATATTTTATAACCGGAGCTTTATATATATTTGTAAATATTTATTTCTTAAGGAGATATGGATATTTAAATAAAATTACATAGATATTTCTTTCTTTAAATAATGAGAATATAATTAAATAATAAATTTTAGCGAAATGATTGAACAAATTTATGAATCTTCTAATATTAATATTGGTACACGAAAAGGCTGGAAATTAAATGATGTACTTAAAGTACCCCAACAAGAAAATGGACATGATTGTGGCATATTCGTTATATTATTTGCACAATTTTTGATCTACAAGAAGGAAATGAATTTTACACAAAGTGACATACCTTATTACAGGAAGGCAATATTAAGGTTCATCATTTCAGGAGATGTTTGATTTTATGAAAAATTTTAAGATAATTAATTACTTCAATGAAATTCAAATGGAATGCAGGGAATTTCCAGCTTCCATTTAATTTCATTGTTAGTGGTTATTTTGACAAATTATATATTTCAATGATTTATTGTTTAGGATATTTATATTTTTAAAGCAACTTTAATATTTTTTGAAAAATAATAATTTATGTAAATTAAGTAAATAAAATTACTTCAATGAAATTCAAATGGAATGCAGGGAAATTCCCGCTTCCATTTAATTTCATTGTTTTAGTTTTTTAATTACAATATAATTTTAAAGTTGCTTTTATCTTTTTTTCTTTTATTTTTCAACAATATTGAAACAATTATTTAAAATATATTTAACTTGAGATAATTAATTCTTCAATAAATTTCAATCAATAAAAAAATTTTTTTATGAAAAACTTTCAAAAATTTTTTTTCAGATAATTTTCTACCCATATCCATATTATCCAGAGTGTTTTCGGAAACAGAAAACTACCATAAATCGTTTTATTTGTAATATTTTGCATCAAAATTAACTTATTTAACATTTTCTGCTTAAAAATGAAAATTTTTCCGTTAAAAATTTTCTGTTTTCGGACCATATTTGATCCATATTTTGGATTTTAGTCCATATTTCAGTACATATTTTGAGATTTTTAGTCCATATTATATGTCCATATTTTTCGATTGATAGTCCATATAAATCCCATCTTTACTCATAAATTTATGATTTGTTAATAGAAAATTGGAAATTTCGTTGTTTGTCGGCAGGATCCTTGATGAGTACCCTCAAAATCAAATATTAAAAATTAGACAACATAACTAAAAGTATGTCATTTGACTTAAAATGCAAAGATTAATTGTTAGAAAACACCTAACAGACAAAAATATTAAACATGAAAAAGAAGCTTACATCAAACTCGATTTAGTATGATTTTAATAAAAAAATAATTGAAATTATTTATAAGGAGTAGACGTTAATGCAGCATTATGTCGAAATTTTCGTAAAATAAGCATTTATTAGTTTTATGTAAGACTTAAACAATAATTGTAGTTTTCTCATTTTTTGCATTTTAGTAAGAGATAAATTTTTTGTTAGCACTGTAATATCCGAAAATTATGATAAATTAGAGAAAAATAGTCAAAGGAAAATACAAAAATTTAATTGTTAGTTAGTAACTAACATCCAAAAATTTAGACATAGCCAATACAATTTACTACTGGATTCATTTATGGTTCTAAAATATGAGTATATAATTCAAAAATTTTATAATGAGTAGATACTAAAAAGTATGATAAATTAACAACGAATAGTTAACAAAGAAAATTACACAGGAAAACTTTGCTGTACCTGTTCCTAGACTATGGGCTTTCATCCCAATGGGACTTCTTTCCTAGACCTCATCCCAAAATAACCTGACTATTTTCAATTGTCGCGCCGCAGGCAAAAATTTTGGGAATTTTGAAAGACCATGAAGTTAGATTTTTTCCTTTTTTACTTATTCTAATTTCGGATATCCGGATCCTGCATCTGAACAAAAATTTTGGATATCCGGCCTTTTTCGGATCCGGATATCGGATCCGCCAACCATAGTGACGATCCGCCAACCATAGTGAAATCTTAATCTTCCAAGTGCGTCAATTTGTTTTATATTTATGACTTTAACGGGATTCATAAAGAATTTTGTTGATTTACTGATCGGTGTACATAACCTAAATATCCTCAATTGACGTGCCGCCATGGGAAGATAGGTTGTCGGTTCTGGACAACTTTCCGAACCCAAACGAAAATTCGAACGAGGGTAAATTAAACTACCTATTATATTAGTTTCTGAACGAAAATCCCAATCGTGGAAGGACCCCCGAAAGCCTCCTTATTAAAAACAACTCAAGTCAAGGTTATTAGAGATCGGTCTGGATCCGTATTCAGTCTGGATTTTTTTAGGATCCAGATCAGGGCTGGGCTTATTTCTCAATTTCGCGTTTCGCATCTTTCGCATTCTCCCATTTTTCAGCGTGAAATGTTTCGCATTTCGCTTTTTATTTCTAGATTTCGCCCAGCCTTGATCCAGATCAAGAATCCAATAAAGCAGCTGAGCTATAGCCATTTTTTTACTTTAGCTAGTTAATCGGCGGCTGGGAGCGAACCAGCATCTTCAGTAGACCGGACTGATGTGTTAGCCATTACACCACGCCGCCTACTGCACAGCCTTAGGAATTAAATAGCTATATGCTTTACAATCCTGTCCTGTTTATTGACTTAAGTCCAGATCCATAATCCAGCTCCAGGATTTTTGAAAATAGCTATCTCTAATGGCTAAAAAAATTAAATCAATAAACTAAAAATTAATTTTTAAAAATTTAAAATTTGAATAAGAGAAAGCACGTGAAACCTCAAAATTGTCAACTTATTTGTCAACCAAAAATCGCTTAAAATTAAAATTGAAGCGGGCGTCAATCAACGTGGAATATTTAGATAAACTTGCTTCAATGGTAAAAATTTTAAACCAAAAAATTCAAAAAAAATTTTTTTGGCTTTAAAAATTAAAAAATTAAATAAATTTTCTCCTCTTATGGGTAGATGAGAAGCCCATGCCAGTAAAAATTTTCAAGGAGCATGTGCGGTTGATGGATAAAATTAAAATAAATAGTGCTTGCTTAGCTGCAATAGACGTAAGCTTTAAAAAAATTTTATACGTGGATTTTTAAAAAGAGCAAACAAATTTTTTTGAAATCATCAGCATAAAATAGATCGATTTCAAGGCAGACACATCAAATTTCAGAGAGATTGCCAATAAAAAAATTCAAGGAATATGGTTTTAAATTTGTGCCTTGTCTTCTTTACAGGTAAAAATTTTAAATAATTGGGTAAGGTTAACCTTAATAAGAGGAGGTAAGAGGGATGTAGTACATAAGAGTGATTAGAGGATTTCAATAAAAGTGATAAATTTAGTAAAAGGGATTAAGAGGGATTAGGAACGGATTACTTATAATGGTGTGGGAGGAGTAAAAATTTAAACCTGAAAAGCATCAGTTCTTCGACATAATACATTTGCGAGATGTGCTCTTACCATCTATGGTTTAAGGTTGTCGGAACCTTTCTTACTTACCTTTCTCTTAATATATTTTATCCACCGTTTTGTGAAGGAGTCTAAGCTTCTCGTTTAATTAAAATACTTAGGAAAACAATGAAACTAAACTTTTAAAATTTCAGCATGTCTATACATATCTGTCGAGGGTTTAGGACTTCATCAAGCAAAAATGACGGACGACTTAAGAAAAGCAATTTTGCGAGCGCACAATAATTATCGTAGTCAGCTTGCTAAAGGCCTAGTTACAGATGGTTCGAACAAAACTATGCCGGCAGGGAAGAACATATACAAATTTGTAAGTGAAATAGGTGATACAAGTTATATACATGTTAATTAAAGATATACAAATTATCAATCGAGAAAATTGCCCAGGCAACTGCTGATAATTGCAAAATGGCACATCCTGGCACTGTTGGATATGGAGAAAATTTATGGGCAAATAGCTGGGCTATGGATAATTTGAGTAAGCTATTTATAGGGTTAACTTCACTTATAAGCTTCCCCTACTACTCCTAATGTCTTATCAGATTTTTTAATAATCAAAAAATTAAATTTAGCGGAAGCAGTAAATGGCGCTCCTCTATCCTGGTGGAGTGAGAAGGATAAATGCCCTATACTTGCGAACAATCTACAAGTTACTCCTGATGTTTTTGATAAATGTGGACATATGACCCCAGTTAGTATATAAGCAAAGTAAAAATTTAAATAAATTTATAGATGGCATGGTCACATACTACTCAAATTGGATGTGGTATTCAACTTTGTCCAGCACAAGATTGGTGCTCAGGATGGGTTAGTAAATTAATTAAGCAGCTGGAACAGAATAAAATAACGCTAAAATCAAAATAAAATAACTCAAACACACCTCAATTATGCGGCGTTTAAAATTAGTCTGGCCACTTGAGGGAGTTGCCGCGTAGCGTTGGTCTTATTTTAGGCTATAACCGATACACACTTTCCTCGGAGCTTTAGACTCATTTCATTAAGTGATCCAATTTTTATGCTGGGTGAGTATTTCTAATCATGGCGCTCCACTGAGATCGTAACTCGATATGTAAGAATTTTCTGTCAGAAACGAAAACCCACTGAGATACAGGCGATTGAAAACCGAAAAATTTGATTGAAAATTTTTGGGATGCTAAGAGCTGATAAAACTGTTTTTGTGCTACTACTTAATTAAGTTATTCTTATGCTACTTAGTGTAGAAAAATCAGAATAAACTCTAAAATTTATCAACTAAATTTATTTTTTATCACACAGAACCCACCTTGTTATAATACGACGCTTATCTCTTGCAATTATTTTAACCCGTGAGTACATAATATATTTTTATTCAATTAATCTGCTTATTAAAATATAGAACCAATGACGCAGGGAACATTTTAATGTACGAAAAAGGAAATCCATGTACTAAGGATTCTGATTGTGATTACTATGCAAATTCAAAATGTGACACGAGTTGTGGTCTTTGCAAAGCACCGTTAGATGCTACTGATCCACATAAAAATTCAGGAAATTAATTCACATGCGTGATTATGTGAAGTACACGATATAATTTCTTTTCTGTCCAATCTTTCAATGTAATCTATTAGAGTAATGCGTATGGGGAACTTTAAATACAGATAGGGGTAAGGCCAGAGGTGTGTCGGAACATTCAGAGGTGTCGGAAATCGGAAGAGCCGGAAATCGGAGCCGGAAATCGGAATAAAAATTTTTTTTGGAAATCGGAATTCCGACCCAAATCTGGTAAGGACCGCATCATAAATTCGGAATATTTTTTTATTCTTAACTGAGTGTCTGAAATTAATTCTTTCCCAAAAAAGCCTGTATCATGGAAAACGTCAAAGCTTATTTCCTTAAAATTCTCGTACTACTCTGGTAGACTATTTTTAAAATTTTACCTTTCATAAGTAATTAAAAGTCTAATTAATACATAAATAATTTTCCTTTCATTAAATCTTGTAAAATACTTTTTAATTGTAATAAACTTAACGGCTTTAATCTTGTGTAATTTTTGCAAAAAAAAAATTCACCTAGAAAAATTCGCTTAGAAAAGACTCGATTACTTAAACTTTGCAAAAAATCTTGAACGCGAACTCGGGTTATTCAAACTCGGAATATTCGACGTACTCTAGTCTCAAGTGTATTAATTAATATGTGTTTTTATATTTTTCTCTCTTTTAAACTCTAAATACAAAAACTATAAAGAGTTGTGTCGAGTATGTTGATAGTTTTTATTTTTGGATGCCATTCATAATCAATTGGCAATAATTGACTCGAACAAAATTATTAAGAGGATATAATGTTAATTTGTCTCATCTTGTTTTTAATCTTAAAATGAGACTTATTTTCTTGTTCATCGTAACTCTATACATCAAGTTACGAACTTTATTAATTGGATTTGAGAGAGAAAGAAGGGAGGAAAAAAATGACAGAAAGGGGCGGACAAACAATTGCGGACATTGGGGGGGGGGGGGTTTAACTAAGGGCTCCCGGCAGTGCTTCGAAGCTCGTACCAAAATTCGTACTCGTACCTCGTACTCGTACCTGGTACGAAGTACGAGTACGAGTACGAGCAAAAAATTGGAGCAGGTACGAAGTACGAGTACGAGTACGAGGCCAAAAAAAGTGAAAAGTACGAGGTACGAGGCCTAAGTACGAGCTCGTACTTCTCGTACTTGGTGTTAATAGGAAAATTGAAAGAAATATATTCAATTCCTTTCACTCGCTTCATAGGAGCGGGTGGCCGAGTGGTGAAAGTGCTTGGCTGCACCAAAGTCTGTAGTGATTTAATATTGGGTCCGATTCCGATGCACGGGCCAAATAATTATAATTTTTTTTCATAAATAACTTATTTTATAATTTTAATTTTGTTTTAAAAATTATTCTATTCTTACATGGAGTAATTATGAGATTTTGACCCTCTAAAATTCTTAAAATACCTCTAAAAAGTGAATATTTTTCGCCTACGGCCTTCCGGAATTTTCAAAATTTTTGCCTGCGGCGCTGAAAAAATAATAAAGTTAGCTTATTGGCTTCCGAATTCTAAAATTTTCGCCTCCGGCGGTGAAAAATGGAAGAAATCTGGCTTCATTACCTTCAAAATTTTTCAAAATTTTCGCCTGCGGCGCAAAAAATAATAGAAATCTGACTTAAAGACATCCAAAATTCGCAAAATTTTTTGATAAAAGGGATTCGAGATTAAAAGGGATATCATGAGATAAAAATGTGAAAAGTTCGGTGGAAAGGATAAGTTCCATGTAAGAAGATGGGTAGCCCGACCCATCATGGAGGAAATATTTCTTTTTGCAATCCAAAAAACTCAAAAATTTCGCCTGCGGCGCAGAAAATGGATGAAATTGGAGGATTTATAGCTTCAAAGCCTTTCAAAATTCAAAAATTATCACATACAACGCTTAAAATTTAAAATTAGATGACCTGGGCTCCGAAAAATCATAAAAATTTTCGATTTTTTGCTTTTTTCTCAAGTACGAGTAAGTACGAGGTACGAGTACGAGGTACGAGGCCAAAAAAAGAGGTGGTACGAAGTACGAGTACGAGTACGAGCAAATTTGAAATTTCGAAGCACTGGCTCCCGGACAATGCGTCAGTGGACAATCGGTCAGTATTGATAAAAAGTGATTAATAGTGATGATATAAAGAGATAAAAATCCAATGATATTCCTCCAAATCGGCTGATCTCCATCTTAATCCAACCAAGTAACTTAATATCTCTGTTAATCCTCCCAAACCCGAGATATCGGGCTTAATTTCGACAAATCCCTCTATATCTCTTTTAAACCCCAAAATCCCTTTTATATACTCCTAATCTGTTTATATCCCATTTTAATAACTTTATATTAATATGACCGATTGTTCACTGACGCAAGTTCCACTTCTCATTGTCCGGAAACGTAACTAAGGATTACCAATCTTAATTTTACCTAATTTAAATATCTAATTCAATTCATCTCCAAACTTCCTATTATGAGATTAACTAATTACCATCAGAATCCTACTAAGTCCCCCTGAAATAATGCATCGAGGGTTTATACAATTAATATATCGAAGGATTTTTGGATTGAGAGGATATCAGTGATAAATTATGATTTTTG